TGTGTGTGTGTGTGTGTGTGTGTGTGTTACATTTTTATCGCGTGGCATCTGTAACCGTGTCACAGCATGCTGCTTCACAAATTGCGGTGCAAAACAACACCATGGAAGGAGCCACACCGTATCCTTGGGGTTCAATGACGCAAGATGATGGACGAAGGATAAAGACAATACCAAGGTTTCACCACCATTCCACATCCAACATGCACAGGTGTTCAGGTTACTAAAACAGCACACAAACCATGATATTACTGACCTTTACACAAAACAGCACTCAAGTGGGTAGGCAAACAACACTCAGCAAGAAAAGAACAACAGCCCGGCAACAAGACACCAATGCAGACAAAAGAACGGACAGCAAAAAAAAACAAAGCGAAAAAAACAAAACACAATAGATTGTTTCGTCGGAGTTGCACCGATTAGGAGGTTGAACCCTCGACAATCTGCGGAATCCCCGTATTTGATGGTTTGGGTCATGCACCCTTTGACACTTGTTGAAGGCATACTGTCCCCAAGAGGAACATAGCAGTGGGCAGCAACCCTGTGAAGCACCAGGCAACACAATAGAGGCAACATAGTAGAGGCAACACGACTGCACAACACCAAAAACGACTGCAAGGAACGACATAGCACGCAACGCGGCAGCCGTGTAGTGAAGCACAACGCAACACAAGTAAGGCAACAACACTGCAGGAGATGGAGGGCAAGTGAACCAGCAGCTGGACAACTGTGGAGCGGAGCACAAGGCACTAGCAAACAAGGCACCAACCGACAGGGCACACAAGCGGCAAGCACGAAAGGCACGGCCAACGGATGAGCAGCAAGGCAGCGGAGCAGCGGAGCGCAAGGCAACACCAACAACACGACCACACCGCATAGCGAACACATCAACCTGCAAAGAACCACACGCGAAGCAAGCGGGACAGGCAGCAAGACAGCGGTGGAGCGCAGACGAGGACGTCCACACATCCAACACGGAGCAAAGCAGCACATGACGTACTCACATCATGATTGAACCCCGCGGACTGTTGGTTCCCACCAGCCACTGAGCCAGGGAGTCACTCCGACGAACATCCGTCACCAGACTCATCACCAACAGGCAACACAGACAATACGAACCGAGCAGCTCCCATAAGAGTGCAGTAGGCACTCCAAACGAGGAACTACCGACTGCCAGTGTTTGGCACTACTTAAGGGTGCTCAGTTGGGCACACAAAAGCAGTTAGAAAAAATCAGGGGAAAAACAGACAACAGAAAAAACACTGACAAACATAAAACTGATTGTGTGTGTGTGTGTGTGTGTGTGTGTGTGTGTGTGTGTGTGTGTGTGTGTGTGTGTGTGTGTGTGTGTGCACGCATGTGCCCGGGAGGGTAGGGAGGACCCCTCTCCCACCAATCAATCAATCAATCAACCCATCAATCAATCAGTCAATCAATCAATCAATCAATCAATCAATCAATCAATAAAAAAACAATTAATCAAGTATTTTCTTTTTCTATTTTTTTAAATTTTTTTGTCACACACAAAAAACCACTCCCCCAATTATTTCTTTATTTATTTAATTATTTTTTTGCACAGGCCGACAGCGGCCGACATGTGTAGGCCGCTTGCGCAAGCCGTTTTCCTGCTCGCGCCGCCGCCTGGCTGTGGCGCGGCCGCAAAAAAACTCGGTCGCGCGGCCTAGGCCGCGGGCCGGCGGCCGGCCTCCTCGGTCGCGGCTGAGTCGGAGGCGGCCGCGGCCTAGGGGGACATATAGCCCGTGTGCCACAGTCCGCCGCCACTACCCACGAAATGTTTTTTCCTCTGTCTTCTTCGGTTTTTGTTCCTTGAATTTCTCTGCTGTGTGTTTTTTTAACTTTTTTTTGCTTTTTTTTTTTTTTTTGCTTTTTTTGCATTTTTTTTGCTTTTATTCATCAGCGTAGTATACCGATAGCTATATGTAATGCATGTCAGGGGCTGATCCTCAAGCCTGTTGCCACTCGCCATATACGCTGGGAACAATCCCCTTTGACAACGAACCCCCCGATGAGCTTCCGTGCACTACGCAGGATGAGAGCTTCGACCTAGAAGGAGGGGGCAACATGATCGTACTTCCATCAGGGAGAGCCGCGTGGAGAAGGAAGGAGCGGGAGCAAGACCAGTTTGTGCACGTCAGATACACGAGCAGGCTTATGGAGGCGGTTCCTCTTAGAAGCATGGTCCTGGAGGCACTCAGGCAGGTGATGGGGGAAAGACAGGTGAATTGGCTGGAGGATGTGGTCATCAGGTGGCGATATGACGATGTCTTGGGTGACAAGGTTTGCAAACCGGCGAGGGTGTTCAGGAAGTTCAGGATGAACGAGTGGGAGGCGGGATACGTACCTGAGTTCTACCAATGCGGCGCAGGGAGGCACGCTGAATTCCTCAGCACTGCCACCATCAGGATGCTCCCAGAGGAAGGTACCTTGCACGTCATCACTAATGACACCGGCGTAACAAACAACGGTCAGCTGAAGCTCATGCTAAATCACATCCCAGTCAGGGCGCTCGATGAGGAGTTTGCGCTGGACGAGGTCGAGGTGGCGCTTGATAAGATTCTCACCACACCAACGTGCGATGAGGAGCTGTCCCTGGGGGAGGAGAGACAAGTAAAGATGATTGTATGAGAGAACGCGAAGAAACGCATCAGGAACTATCGAGCGAAACATATGCATATTGCAGGTGAACCTATCAACAGCGTGGCGGTAAGAGGAGAGATCGAGTGGCTGACCAGTCGGTACCTGGTTTGTGCAACAGACAAGGCGCCGCACACCCCCAGTGCCCCCACGTTCGTATGCATCAACTCCATCAGGAGGCTAGCATTACACAGGCTCTTGGGGCCAGACTTCACACAACCTCCAGATTCGCTAGAGCAGGCCGCAGCAAGATTACTGCAGGAGGTTGTTGCCTTCACTCATGTTGGGCACGAAGTGCTCCCGCTCCCGCACCTCATGACCGTATACAAGGCCCACAAGCAATCCTTCAGATGCATAACGAACACTGCAGGTTTGGTGCTCTCCCCGGTGGCAGACGTATGTGAGAGTCTGCTGAAACTCCTGGCTGAGGACGTTCAGGCCCTCTGCACAAGCAAGAGCGAAGAGGTACATGCCGAGCACGGGGTTAGACCCAACTTCTGGTGGCCGATCTCCTCGATTGGGGAGTTCGTCGCCAACATCCCGTAGCGCATCTACTCCATCTTCACGGGGGATATCAACAGGTGTTTCGAGACGATACCCACGGACGGATCGGAGGACGGTTTGCTGCAGGCGATCAGATTCTTCGTTCCCTGCGACATAGAATGGAGGAGGGCCAGGACAACCAGAGATGTGATTGCGATCAGAGTCGCAACCAACGACACGCTGCACCCCTACTGGGTGAATGGTGATCAGGATAGAGACACAGGCAGGCTGTACTTCGACGAGCAGGGGATCATCGACGTCTGTGAATGGTTCATCGCCAACGGAGTGGTGCAAATGGGGACCTGGGTCTGGAAACAGATCCTCGGGATTCCCATGGGTCTAGCTTGTTCCCCCATCTTCTGTGATGTGTATTTTTTTAAGTATGAGTATGGACTAATCTCTCACTTGGTCGAAATGCAGGATTGGATGGCGGTCAGGTGCTTCCAAGACACCTACAAGTATAGAGACGATCTGTGTTCTCTAAACAACACGATCATCAATGAGTTCCTCAAAAACGGTGTACATGGCCAGAACCCAGGCCACAGGATCTACCCGCATGAGTTCATTGGGGTCAAGGTCGTAATCGATGGACAAGGGAGGACTGCAAATTTTCTCAACCTCTCATTGACAGTCATGTCCACCATGAACGGCACGTACTTCACTTTGAAACACGATAGGAAGGGGGGACTCTCATTCTCCCCCGTGAAATTCATGAAGTTTAAGTCGAATCGCTCCATCTCACAGTCTCTACAGATCCTAACGGCTCAGACTGTCTTAACTCTCATCATCTGCTCTGATGAACAAGAAGTCGCCCTGGAAATCAATAACTTGGTCCAAACTATGGTCTCGAACGGATTCGGCAGGAGGGAATGCTGGAAGGTTGTGGACATGGTTTTTCACAACAGGCAGAAATACAAGCCTGGTAAGGTGATTAACGAAATGGTGAAAGCCAACCTGATCTCCAGATTTGGCATGTACTAATCTGTGTTCTGTGGTGTTTGTGAGTGTGTGTGGGAACCGGGGGGCTACGGGCCGGAATGGCCCGATGCCTCCCGACATCCAGCCTTCCGGCCTATGGCCCGTTTTTCGGTGGGACAGGGGCGGGGCACACACACACACACACACACACACACACACACACACACACACACACACACACACACACATACATAACAGGGGGACGGAGAGTGAGAATGGTTGGGAGAAGGAAAAAGTCACAAAGCACAGAGGACGACTGGTAAAAGCATTAAGGGCTGGACGGAGCGAATAGTAAAAGAAATAGACCTTGATTGATTTTTTTTTATTGATTTTTTTCTGATGAAGTTCGTGCGGAATAACGACGACCGTGAATCCCAAGTGAGTACTGTGGGGCGACGCACCCCTGTTGTCATGCTGGCTCGACCCAAGCTTATTGCACCCCAGAAAGTACGCAAAGGGCGACGGTTATGGGTAAGGGGAATACTCAATGTTTTGCAATAACCCGAGTCCGATTATGCGCACAACCCGTGCGCACAATGGAAAAAACGGCGAAACAGGCGATTTTTCGATCCTTTTTTTTTAGTTTTTCTTTCCTTTTTTTTTTTTTTTTTTTTYTTTTYTTGTTTCTTGACGATTTGTACATGAATCGCCAGTAGTGACGTTTCGCTCAAATGGGTAGGACAATCAGCAGGCGTGGGATACAGGTCGTATCCTCCCAATTAGGGGGAGATGTTCCAAACTTTTTTCTGTTGTTATTGTCGATTTTGTTTTTGTTATTTGTCTTTGTTGTTTGTTTTATTTCTTTCAATTTTTTTAGTCTCCCGCCTCACGTCACCAACGGCGTGTGTATTGCCCGCACGCAATATCCCTTGGAAAGTGACGATGACGGGGCACTATTTGAACAAGCGGATTATCCCTCGGACTCCCATCTTCGGATCAACGCACAAGCTTCCCGCTCGGTCGTAATTCAGTACTGCGAGCTGAACGGCGGCTAGCATTCAAGTTGACAGAAGCTCGGGCAGACGGTGAACAACGACTAGCATTCAAGTTGACAGAAGCTCGGGCAGACGGTGTTTGGGCCCTGTACCGGGACGACGGTGCTGCGCGATTACTTTCGCCATGGATTACCAGGTGGATCATAAACTGCTAGATCGGATGATCGACGATGAAGAAGACAGGGTATAAGCTTCCTCGCCCTTACTTCCAGAACGTCCTGGCTGTATCTGTTGCACCTCGCATACGCCGCGCCGCGCGATCGTCCATTCTTTGCGCTATTCTCTCTTTACATGCAGTGGTTGGGCTGATTGATGATGCTGGTCTTCTTTCCGTTTCAACTTCTGCGTTGGGCGATTTGCAGATTGGTCGAGCTAGGGTCGATGGCATTAAATGGGGAGGGAGCGGATGAGAAGATGGGAGTAGCTATCGAGATGTCAGTCTACGTTTTGCTCGCTTTTGTTGCTTTACTTGCTTTTCTTTCCTTTCCCGCTTTCTTACATCACTTGCAAGCTCTGCCAACTCCATCGTCGCTCCGACTCCCGAAACAGTTGTGACTTGAGAGCAGGTGTCCCCTCTGATGAAGCCGTGTATTGGTGGCTAGCGGCAGAAAAGCGCTTCAGGGATCGCCACTACCCTCCCTGCTTTGGCTGTTGTGGCAGGTTTCCCATATTACACGGAGCTGCCTCTAGGGATGCAGCTAATCTCTTCATGTTCATTTTTTTCGCGTCATGTTGTCTGTTGAGTGGGAAGGAAAGGAGAGAGGTGACACTTCAACTTTTTGACCAGAGGAGAACTCATTCTTTGTTGTAAGGAGGGCGTTGGATGTGTAATCGTCACGTATTTTCTTCCAAGTGTGTTGGCTCGTATCTTGATTTGCGATCTTTGTCTGGATGGCTGGTTTAATGATAGGCATGAAGAATGATAGTTGCAATACATGGCTTATATATATATACACATATGTTTGGCAAGCGAATTGGCCTCCAAGCATAATATCTATCCGCGTATCGACCGACTAGATTGGCGAAGGGATTGGATACTATGATGGATGACACCGATCGCTCTTGATTTCATATGTTATGTAACGAAAATCCCAGATGTGATTGTCGTATCTCTACCATGTGAATAAGGTTTGGCCGGGGAGTATGTGCGCATTTGGCATGCATGAGTATGGGCAAACGGCATTGAGATCACTTTCTCTTTCTTCTTTTTTTGCTACGCATCTTGGATAAAAAATTGTGTGTGCATTAGCGTATAGGTATGGATTCCACCAAGGCAATCGCAGAAACTGAGCATATAATTGTTTCCCACATTTTTTCTGAAGACCGATTCCGCTGACGGCACTCCCGGGATCGTTGTTGATCTGCTGGTGGGCTGATGGACGGTATCGCCCCCTTTCTCGACCGCTGCGACCATGATATCCTTTCTCCTGATTTCACCGGAAATGGCTTATTACGCACTCGTGTCTCCTAATTAAAAGCGACTCATTAGAAAACTATATCTATCCTTGCCGATGGATTGGGTATGTCGGATGAATGAATCTACTTATTCTTAGGGATGGCCTGAGGGTTTATAGAATATTTGTGCTCGCAGGAAGGACAAATGTTATCCCCTCAATTTGGCTTGCTAAAAAATTCAGTACGCTATCAAAGCATGTCAGGCCGATAAAACGGATTTGCCCCGTTGCCCGAGCGATGGTACCGACAGATCCCGTCTGACTCGGATCGTATAAATGGCGACATATGATTATTCCCATGACGTAGTTTTTTCAAGGCGCAGGAACGTACTTACGCTACGTGCCTGTCTACGTGGCGTCTTACGCTACACGCCTGTCTACGTGGCGTCTTCGTCATGGACGGGGCAACGAAGCACAAACACCCCTGCATATGGACAAACATTCCGCAGAAGTAATAGATGATATAACGATGAGGACAAGATGTTTTCTAACGTAGATAGTCCGATATAGTCATACACCCCTACACGGGCTGCGATTATCGTATTATATGCGCTCGATCATATACACTTACAATCTTTTGCTCTAGGATATTATCAGGTGGAGGATGTATGATTTTCTTCCTTTTTTTATTATGCTCGCCGTCCGAAGAAGAAGAGCCTCCAGGCCATCGGATTGCGCATACGTGGGGACGGGTCCTGGTCATGTTTCATGTGCAGGAATCCGACGGGATGAGTTATGTGGCTTGAGAAGCCATGTGTTCGCCTGATAAGGATAACGGGGGTGTGCCGATGAATTACTTCGGAGCTTGATTGCAATACGGTTTTTGTATCTTGCGTCGACATGCTTGTCATGGAGTACTTTAACACACACACACACACACACACACACACACACACACACACACACACACACACACACACACACACACACACA